GTGGCTCTTGTATTTTTCCATTTTTATTTGTTTTTAATTTCACTAGTAATACGTGATTGTATTTTTATTATAAGAAAAGTCAAGCAATAAAATAAATTGCCCCTTAACCTCTCCCAATACTGCTCCGTTCCCAGAAGTATGCTTAGTTATCTATCAGTTGGGTCTAGATCCTTCTGTGCATTTAGATTCATATATATTTTATTTTATTGTACATAAATATTACACAATCTGTATTGTTCTGCAGTTTGGTGTTGTCAGGTAGCGCTATTTCTTGGAGCTCTTTTCATGTGTGTACACAGATCCACCTCAGTCTTTTTAATCACCTTGTCATATCCCATAACCAATTCCCTACTGGGGGAGCTTTTGGGCTGTTTTCAATTTATTTTTTCATTATTACTAACAGTACTTTAATGAGCATTCTTGCACCCACTTCCATTTGTATTTGTATAAGTGTTTTTCTGGAGTAGATAAAAAGGACTGTATTTGCTGGGCCAAAGGGGATCTACATCTTAAATTATGGTAGGTAGTGTCCAGTCGCCCTCCAAAAGGAAGCCCAATTCACACCCCTCCTACAGTATGAGGATGCTGGTTTTCTCACATCTTTCCATACACTAGATCTTATTTTTACTGTTAGTAGAGGTATGAGAAGTATGAGTCCAGGCTGGCCCAGTGGTGTTGTGGTTAAGTTCACGCACTCCACTCTGGCAGCCGAGGGTTCATGAGTTCGGATCCCAGGTGCAGACCTACACACCACTCATCAAGTATGCTGTGGCAGCGTCCCACATACAAAATAGAGGAAGACTGGCACAGATGTTAGCCCAGGGCCAATCTTCCTCAAGCAAAAAGAGGAATATTGGCAACAGATGTTAGCTCAAGGTGAATCTTCCTTACCAAAAAAAGAAAAAAAGAAGTGTGAGTGTTAGCAATGATCCAAAAGCAGTGAAAAAAAAATTATTAAAATATTTATTCTGCAGTATTCTATTCATATCCAAAGACTCAGTTCTGGGCCCAGAATGAGTCACTACTCAATTTTAATCAAATCAATGAGAACCTGATGACATCATCATGTCTTACTGGGGGCGTTATTATCTAAAGTAAGTGACAACCAAATATGGTCAATATTATCCTAGAACAATAATCCCTTGAGAGGTGCCCTGGTGGAGATGGATGGGCCCTCTCTCTGTGAATCCAGTTCCCTCCAGGACTGGCACAGACCCCTGGTTCTTTGGTTGAACACTAGATAAAGTTGTTAGCTTATTCGGAGGTCTTGTAGAAAAAAACATAAATCTTTGAAAATCAGCCCAGCTAGATGCTCAGAGAAGGTCCTCGGGGAAGGCAAACCTAGACTGCCTGGGAAAGCAGAAGGCCCCTATGTCCTCCCTCCTCACTCTGAGCCCCAGGGCTCCTGGAGCAGGAAGACAGGCACACCCACCTTCCCTCACACTATTTAAATTTTCTCTTCTTTTAATAAATAAATAAAATCTTTAAAAAAAAAAAAAAAAGGGCTGGCCCCGTGGCTGAGGGTTAAGTGCGCGCTCAGCTGCTGGCGGCCCGGGTTCGGATCCTGGGCGCGCACTGACGCACCGCTTCTCCGGCCATGCTGAGGCAGTGTCCCACATACATCAACTAGAAGGATGTGCAGCTATGACATACAACTATCTACTGGGGCTTTGGGGGGAAAAAAATAAAAAATAAAATAAAATAAAAAATAAATA